GAGGAACTTCTTCACCCAAAGGGTTGTGAATCTGTGGAATTCCCTGCCCAGTGAAGCGGTTGAAGCTACCTCGCTGAATGTGTTTAAGGCAAGGCTAGATAGATTTTTGAACAGTAAAGGAATTAAGGGCTATCGTGAGTGGGTGGGTAAGTGGAGCGGAGCTCAAAGATCAGTCATGATCTTATTAAATGGCAGGGCAGGCTCGAGGGGCCAGATGGCCTACTCCTGCTCCTAGTTCTTTGTTCTTATGTTATGTTCTTATGTGATGGATGTGTTTTTATTAATCCAACATCTTGATCACGGTTGTTATTTTCAGGATCTTTAGTGGGATTTGCAAGTAAGAAAATTTTATCACAAAAAAGACTATTGTTTTGAATTGTAACAGCAGCTTTGTCAATGTGATTATCTTTGTAAGAGTGAAATGTGTTTGTGCTGTGCTGAGCTGAATGAATCAAATTAAGGCTACCTGAATGTTTTATGACCATTTGGACATGCACTGGCTATTGTATTAAGAAAAATTGTATAGAAACTGGACTTAGTTTCCCAGTATGAACTGTAGCTTCCTTCATGGTTGGGCTGAAGCATGAATATCACAAGGCCTCCAGTGAATATAACGGTGTTTAAAAAAAAATACAGATCACGTGCTGTGAATGGTACAAAGCACTCAATCTAGATTCTGTCTGCTCTCCCACATGCATTAACAAATGATAGATGCTAAATTGACTTTGTCAGCAACTGTTTCAAGGCAGTAATCTAATTTCTAATTTAGATATTCCTAAATTGCTTTTCATTCTTAATTTCTGCTCTTTGAGGCCTGCTGGGTTACTGCCTTGTGCAGATATATGACTTGTGTTGTCTTATCTGTTTTGTGTGCATGCAAGAGCTGACAATTTTAAGTCTCTAGATTTGTTAAGACTGTTGTTTCTGGAAGAGAATTTAGTTGAGCTGGAACTCTATTTAAGATTCACACCTAGGTTTAAAACCTTTTGAATGAGATGCTCGAGTTGATGTTCTGAATATTTTATGTTCAGGTTGTCATAATTTTGTGGTTGTTTGGACACCATAGATGGTAGAATGAGAAACATTAAACCCAGTTTCCAGTCACTGACGTCAAAATTTAAAAATCTGTTTTGAAGCGAAGTTTCATGTAGCGGTTTAGTCTGAGTCACATTTATTCAGGGAATGGTATGGGGTGCTGAAGCTGCAAATCTGTTGAATGCTGAAAAGCATTAGCTGGAGTCACTAGACAGGCTCCTCAAGCACAATGCTAGTCACTGTCAGGTCTTTGTACCAGTTATTGGTCATGCTGCATTACGAGTCACTTATCTCCTTTTTAGCCAATTGTGATGAGGAATCAAGTGTAGTTTTAAATTTTATTTAATGACTAATTGAATTGTTTCTTCATGCATTGCATCTTCACCACAGGCATTTTCACTGCCTGATTTTCTTGTCTTGCCACTCTCCAACAACCACCCATACTTTGAACTATTCAGTTCTGCCTAGCTAATTGTAAGCACTTGACTATGTTAAGTCATTTGATGTGCCCTCAAAACGTTTCTGCTGGGATTGTTCTCTCCTATCTCACAACATTCCATAAGGGTAAGAAAACATCAATTCGTAATATTGTCTGACTGACTGGAGGTCAGATTTGAATTTCCTGGCTCCACTTTTTCTCATTCCACTTGATTTGTTATAGGCCAAGCTATATAGTGTATTGATAACTGGTCTGTTGCAAGTCACTCTGAATCATTGCTGTCAGCGGAGTAAGCAAATTTCAGTTTGCTTCGCCCGCAAGTGGAAAAAGACAATTTGGATTATGTTGATGGCTGTGTTCCCAACTGTGTCCTTTTGGCAATTTATTCTGCTGTACTTTTGCGTCTGCTCTGCTTTGAGCCCTCTCCACTCATGATCACAATCGTGCCCATATTTTTGTCCACATCCTCTGATTCTGAAATCTAATCTGCAGCTCTCACCAGTATGTTTCCCCACATACTGTCAACTCCCATTGGGAAGGCAAAAAGGAAATGAGAAAGAAACAGCAAAGCGCAGAGAAGCAAGCAGGAAATTTAGAAGGTATTTAGAGAGGAAAAGCGACAGCTAGGGCTTTGAATAGTATCATGGGACAGTAGAATTATTTCGTAATTGTGTAAAGTAGACTTGGTGTGGTGGAAGATCTGCTGCTAAACTTAAAATTAACTGCAATCAATAGTGTGTACAAAGAGTGCGGGGGAGAAAAAAGAAGGTACTATCATGGAAAATTGAGAAGGGAACATCTGGCCCTTCAGGAATAAACGTATAGGCCAGATGGATTCCTCCTTACCAAACGAAACAGCTAGTGAGAGCTGAAAGACATGTAGTTAGCCAGTTGGAATCCTGATGCACTGAAACCTGACTGCAGCTGCATCACACAGGGGACGGCCACCAATATCAGTTTCACAGTGTAGTGATGAGGGATCTCAGAATGTTTTCAGTATAGTAATCGTTTCTGGAGAACAGACAGGACTGTTGCTCCTATGATAGACAGCTGAGAATGCTTAAAGCTATCTGCACTGATATTAAATATCAACATCAACCGAACTTCAGTCTGTTTTCTAGCTTTTAAGATTAGGATTTGTTTAAATATGAAGCATCAATGTACTTGGAATTCTTTTAGGGTGGCACAGTGGCTCAGTGTTTAGCACTGCTGCCTCACAGTGGACCTGGAGTTGATTCCATCCTTCGGCGATTGTCTGTTTGCACATTCTCCCTGCGTCTGTGTGGGTTTCTCCGGGTGCTCCAGTTTCCTCCAACAGTCCAAAAGATGTGCAGGTTAGGTGGATTGGTCATGCTAAATTGCCCGTAGTGTTTGGGGGGTGTGCAGGCTAGGTGGATTAGGCATGGGAATTGCAGGGTTACAGGGATAGGGCAGGGGGATGGGTCTGGGTAGGATATTTTTCAGAGGATCAGTGTGGACTTGGTGGGCTGAATAGCTTGCTTCCACGCTAGGGATTCATTGATTCTATGCATATTGCAGGAAACGTATTGTCTCTGGACCATCAATATTGATAAGTGTTTTGTTTCTGATCACCAATGCAATGATAACTGTAGTCTCAAGCAATATTTATTGCCGACATGTGTATGAGTGACCTATAAACACTGGCATAGATGTTTCTGATCAGCAAAGTTGTAAATCTAATCAACACAATTAGAAGATTGGCAGATGTCCACAACACTGAACTGGCTCCCATTTTATGCATTGTTTGTGTTTCAAAGACACAAAAAGGGAGCAATAAGTTTTTTTGTGTATATTAATTTTCTATAACATTTGTCCCTATTTAGTGCCTATAGTGGGTTTTTTTCTTCCCCTTTTAGTTTCTTTTCTTATCCATTTCCTTTACTTTAAAGGATTAATGATGCTACAATAATGCTTGAAGAAGGCCATGTCTGGAATATCTTGTCTCATGGGCACTCTTCCAGTGACCCTGAGCATTGTGGTTTAGGATTTTTTCTTTTGCTGTGGTGGCATATGAATCAAATGATTTGAAAAGATTGCGAAATTTTTTAAGCTAAAGGGAAACTTCTCACAAATACCCTTCTGACAGAAAATGATCACAACCAATACGATTCTCTGGGTTTGAGTTTGAACATACTGTTACCACACGTGTATTGAGATGGGAGAATTTGTTTGGGTAAACTCCAGTTTATTAATGGGGAGGCCATAGTGCAATCCAATGGTGTCATCCAGTGACACTGGATGAGCAATTCCGGAACCTCCGGATAATGTTCTGAGAACATGGATTCAAATCCCATCATGGCAGATGGTGAAATTTGTATTCCATAAAAAGTTTGAATAAAAAGCTAGCCTTAAACCAAGGCAACTATAAACCACTGGTTCACTTATGACTTTGCGGGAATGAAATCTGCCATGCCTACATGGTCTGGCCTACATGGGACTCCAGACCCACAGCAATATGGTTGACTCTTAACTGCCTTTTGCCAATTAGGAATGGGCAATAAATGCTAACCTGGCCAGAGATGCTGAAATCCCATAAACAAATTAAAAGGTCTTAGAGTTAGTCCCATCCTTCATCTAATTTTTGGAGATTTATGGCCTTGGGAATGATTTTGTTTCCACTGAGATGATGTTTCTTGTTGCTGTTCCTTTTGTTTCTTTCTCTTTACTTATTTATCTCCTTGAATTGTTTTCTTTCCCTCTTGTTCCATCTGCCATTTTTTTTTCCTCATTTTGTCACTGCTTTCTTGTGTCTCTTACATTCTTTCTGGGACGTTTGTTTGTTCTCCAGTCTCCTCTTCAGACTTGCTGTATGTCCATTTTTCTGCTGTTTGCCGCTGTATGGGGAGCCTAGAACAGCATTTTGAGGCCTTTCACGGTTGTCAGTCCAGTTAACTTGTTGAACTTGGATGGAATGATGATTTTATTGAGATTCGGAACATATTGATACCGTAAGAGTCACAGAATCTCAGGTGGTTGCATTAAGTAATTTAGCATGTTAATCCTATCCTATAAGATCAACATGATCTTGTGCTTTGTGATTGTCAGTGTTATTGAACAGTACAGTGTTATGCTACATGTAAGCTGATCTACCTAAAATCATGCATGATTTTAACATCATTCTTAAATATTAACAATTGAAACTTAAATCCTCAGATGCTTGTTCAGAACAGGGCCTGCAGCTTAGTTGTTTTCTAATTTGCTGGAATGCTAATGCTCTGATGGACTACGTCCTTGATCATTAACATGTTCGGTCAGCGTTCTGGAAGAGAAATCGAGCCAGTTACACCACAGCAGCCTATTGTATAAATTATAAATAATGCATACTGAAAGAGGCTCGGGAGAATTGTTAAGGTTTTGGAAGGCACATTGCTTCTGGCTCGCAAGAAGTTGAGTCCGTACTTCAACATAATGGAATGGCCAGTACGTGAGCTAAAAACAATATAAAGATGTTGTAGCACATCAGTTTTCACTTATTAAATGGACTATTTTTCTTTTTCCCCCACAGATATGTGTCGCAAAGATGTCCACACACAATTCCCAGGCCGTCGATTCAGTCATCAAACCACTGGACACCATTCCTGAGGACAGAAAAGTCAGAGTGCAAAGAACACAGAGCAGTTTTGATCCATTTGACAAACCAACAAGCCAAGTGAAGAGGGTTCACTCCGAGAACAATGCTTGCATAAACACAAAGTGCTCGTCTAGTGGTAAAGAGTCTCCAAAACTGAGACGACACTCTAGTCCCAGTTCTGTAAGTTGTTGTTACTTATACATTGCATCTTTTTGTTAATAAACATTTTAATTTGTTGCCTTTTTATGAATGAGTCACCTTCTCACAAATGGGTAATAAATATACAAAATGCTTAAACTATGCAGCAGGCCTGTTAATAGTTGTGAAGAGAAATTATGTTGACGTTTCAGGTCCGTGACCCATCTTCAGAGAAAATGTCTTGCTTTGTAATGGGTGAATTTTCCCAGACCTTCAACAGCTTGGGAGACTGGTGGAAGTGGTTGGGATATACTCGGGGTCTTGGATGACAGCCTGGTGTCATCTTACTACTAAAGAAGAGCCTCTTGCCACCTCCAGGAGTATTTTACTCATTTTAGGAGGGCATGCTGCCACATGGAAAGCGGCCAAGGAAAGACTTAGTTGTCTCCCAGTGGGTTCCCAGTGCTGACTTAAGCATTTGAGCAGTTTGTTTGGAGGTTCTGGGTTCTGCAGGTTAATTGAAAGGAGTTATCCTGTTTCCTGTTCAATTGTGGCTCATGACTGGTGGTTTGTTTCCAGCAATCTGCTGGAGACTTTGTATTCTTTTCCTTTTTACCTTTTGGGTGCAGTGTTGTCTAGGAGATTGTCCTTCAGCAGTACCCTTAACAGCACACATTCTAACCCAGTAGCACCAGAACTCCAGACTAGTGCACTCTCGCATACTAAAGGTGCAGTTGGTTTTTAATCTCCTTTTCTGTGTTCCTGGCAGGAGAAAACACAGACATATCTTTTGCCTCGGATTATGTCCACAATCTGCGGATGCAACTCTCAGCAGATGGTGTTTGTGTTGTATCTCTTCCTTTTTATTTTGAAATGATTCTCTAAAATTCCTTCACACCCTTCCAGGATGTGACTTTCCAAGGTGTCTCTCGTGGCAGAAGGCAGTATAATGTGGATAAATGTAACGGTGTTAGATTTGGAAAGGGGGAAGTGCCACAAGACCTAGGTGTCCTTCACAGTATTTGCTGAAGTTAAGCATGCAGATAAAGCAGGCAGTGAAGAAATGGTTTTTTGGCTTTCATAGTGAGAGGATTTGAGTACAGGAGCAGGATGTCTTACTACAATTGTACAGGGCCTTGGTGAGACCACACCTGGAGTATTGTGTGCACGTTTGGCCTCCTTATCTGAGGAAGAAATATCTGGCTATGGAGCAAATGCACTAAAAGTTTACCAAACTGATTCCTGGGATAGCAGGACTGACACATGAAGGGAGGCTGAATTGGTTAAGATTATATTCACTGGAGTGGAGAAGAATGAGGGGTATCTCCTAGAAACCTATAAAATCCTGACAAGACAAGGCCAGCTAAATGCAGGAAGGATTTTACTGATGGCAGGGGAGTCTACAACCAGAGGTCGTAGTCTAAGGATACAAGGTAGGCCATTTAGAACTGAGATATGGGGACATTTCTTCACCCAGAGAGTGGTGCGCCTGTGGGGTACACTTCCACGGAAAGCAGTTGAGGACAAAATATTGAACTTTTTTAAGAAGGAGGTGGATATAGTTCTTTAGGTCTAAAGGCATAAAATGGTATGGGGAGAAAACAGGAATAGGGTACTGAGTAGAATGATCAGCCATGATCCTATTGAGTGGCAGAGCAGGCTTGAGGGGGCAAATGGCCTACTCCTGTTCCTATTTCCTTATTTCTATGTTTCAAAATTGAGTGCAGTCCACTCAGGAATTTCCGAGCCAGTGACTGCATCACATTCTTGGCCACTTCTAGCTTGGATGTCTCAATCTTATGAACAAACCAACTTACTTTAAAGTGCACTGTCCAGAAGAAATTTTGGCTAAGGTCTTGTGTTGTGACAGTAAGCAGAGTTCAAGCCAACAATTGCATATTGATCAATTTTTAGTGAGATTTTATAATTCAGTTTTTCCAAGTAACTCATTTTTTTTGCTGGTAATATTCAGTTACTCAGAGTTAAACAAATGTAAAACTGTGTTTCATTTTAATGTTGCCCACAATAACAACAATGCCACATAATACACTCCTGAACTGTTCTGAGGCAAGGATGTTGAGTTTGGATTAGTAATAAACTTGCCATCTCATTTAATATTGCATGGATTATCTGTATCATTAAAGGAGGAGAACTGCAGCAAACCAATAAAGAAACCAAAGTAGTTTGACGTTTATTATAGCATGAAGGAAAATTGGTGTTAAGGTACATTGGAAAAACTTGTCATTTTAATAAATTCCTATTTACAAATAAGCAAGGTTCCTTCTCATTTGATCTTTGTCACAGGCATAAGTCCTTGATAAATTTTATTTCAGTTTCAATGATATTTCTTGCACAAGATCTTGATTAGAAATTATTAGCGTACTGGGTTAACTTTTGATTCTTAAGATAGTCAGAAATATTGAGGATGTGTGAAGAATGTAAAAGAAATCTAATTGTCTGTATAAAGTACCTTATTCCCACAGGCTGGGTCATAGAGCAGGCGTACTTGGAGAAAGAATGAACCAAGGGGTGATTTGATTGAGGTTTATAAAATATTATTGTCTATAAAGATGCATCATTTAAACTGGGTAGATTGGTGTGAACTAGGAGTTGCATCTCAAGTTATGTATGGACAAAATCAGGTTAAATACAAGATAGTAGATCTTTTTTCCCCTGAGTTTGATCTTTTGAAATGACTTAATCAACGATGGCGAATTTGCTGCAGTTCTTTGAGAAATAGACTCTCGCTGTCAGAGATCATCATATGAGGGGTAGCTAAATAAATCTTAGACTTGTGTTCTTCTGGATTGGTTTTGATTGGTAAAGAGGTTGGAGAAAAATTGTCCAGAGTCTCCTCCCACCACCCCACAAGTGGCTGCAATTTTTCTTTTTCTCTTCAAGCCTCCTAAAAGAAAATATGACACCAGTTGTATTGATGACTGACTGACCACTGTACGGGTTAGTTGGTCTTTTTCTATCCATCAGTTCTCTACATTCCTCTGATGTAGTGTGGGATATTTTTTCTACACTTTTTCAATTGAAATTATTTGTAAATCCTTGAAAATACAAGCACAAGCCTGTTCAATTTTAATTGCCTTAAAGCTTTCTTAACCTCCTGCTTGAACATACTTTTCAGCCCTCATTCATACTGTGATGGTCGTTGATTCTCAAAACGCTTCATGTTATCTCCTCCTGTGATGCTTTTTCAGCTTCCAGCATTTGACTATGTTAAAATTATTTCACCGCTTTCTATCTTATTTACTTCACATCTGTACAAAAAATACATTGTAGGAAGAAGAATGTAAGTGTAGCCCTTGGAAGTCCAGCTTGGATGTCTGATTCACTTCAGAACTGGCATATTGCATTATGATCTTTGGCTTTCCTGCTTGGATTTAACAAATTTGGAAAAAGTGTAGAAAATCCTTGCCAAAATGAAGCTCTTAATGCTGGATTGTTTTAAGATTAATAATAGATTCAGTCTACAAATGTATCTGTTCTAACTGGGTGAGGAAGTGAGGACTGGTTTACTTTTTCCCCAATACTCCCATGGAAGTAACATCTTTCCCACAGTAACAAGACTGAAACTGCACATCATAGTCTTTGTGGTGTAACCAAGATCCTACACCAGTGACAACTTCACTAACCAGTACTCGCCTTGTAAAGGCTAACATTCCTGAGCCTTCCCAACAGCTTGCTGCACCTGCATGTTAGCCTTCAGAGATTTACTGACAAGGACATCAAGTCCCTCAGCACCTCTACACTTTCCAGCCAGTCTCCACTTAAATAGTACTCTGGTCAGAGCTCATACTTTTCCATGTTATATTGTATCTTCCATGTTTTTTACTCATCTAGTAAACCTGTCCAGGTCCTTAGCTTGGTATCATCTGCAAATTTGGAAATATAGTTTGGTTCCCCGTCCAAGTCATTTGATCATTTTCTCCTGGATTCAGAAATTGAACCATTTCCTTTTATCAGAAAATCTCTTGTCTGCTATTGGGCTGTAGACACTTTCGCAACAAGATAGGATTCAGAATTTGATAAAACAACAGGGAAAGACACTCTAGCAGTGTGTATTTTCTGCCCAGATAACAATTCCAGCATGTATACAAAAGTTTAGATTGCACAAGCATTCTACACCTGTAACATGTTCCAAAAATATAGGGTGAGCTCTTATCTCCAGCCTTGTTTTACCACTGTCAATGTCTGAGCTGTTCACTCCTTTTGGATCAACCTTCTGACTTCATGAGGTACAGAGGAGCTGTTCACACGCCCAGAGGTTCTATTTCTCTTTATTTACATTGAATCATGGAAAAGCTACAGCACAGAAAGAGGCCATTCAGCCCATTGTGCTTTTTTAAAAAAAAACCCATCCAATCCCCACTTACTAGCACCTGGTCTGTCGCCCTGTAGGTTACAACATTTCAGGTCCAGATCCAGGTTCCTCTTAAATGAGTTGAGGGTTTCCACCTCAACCACCTACTGAGCAGCAAATTCCAGGCACCTACCACCCTCTGGGCGAGAGAACTTTTTTTTCATGTCCGTCTAATCATTGTACTGATCACCTTAAATCTCTGCCCTCCGGTAACTGAATCATTCAGGGGAGACCAGTACTCTAACCTATCACACTAACCAACCCCCTCTTTTATTTTGGAATTCTGGATCAGTCACCCCTTTGCTTCCTCCATTCTAAGGAAAACTACTCTAGCTTATCCCATCTTTCGTTGAAGTATTGTATTTCCATAGAATGGATCGTAACTTCACATAGTGGATACTTCAAATCAGTCTCCTTTTTCCGCAAAAGCATCTGTTATTTAAAAAATTTTATGTATATGTATTATTTGACCAGTTTTTGAAATTGCACAATTATACTCCATGTAGCACACCTTTATAACACATCTATACATTTTTAAACAAGCAGTTTGTGATGGCGTTCAAAAATATGAAATATTTTAGAAGTCTTTAAACTCAGCACAGATGTTTGAATTTAGTGAGAGTGCCTTTAATTTTAGTTGTAGTGAAGAAGTTAACAAATTGTCATGTCA